CACCTCTAAAACTAGTGTTAGCACTGTATTTTCCTATATTGTGCAAATCAATCTAAGTTGAAATAAGTGCAACATCTTCATGATAATTTCATTTTCTTTTGGTTCCTTTTGAACTTTGAGAAGCTAGGGTTGAAGATGCAGACTTTGTTTTCTACCATACACTAAATATTTTATTATAAAAAAATTATAATACTAAAAGAATAAGGGATAAAGAGATTTATCTAATATTATATTAAATTTTGTCAAACTTTATTCACATGATAAAAAGTTCAACATAAACAACAATTAATGGCAACAAATGACAAAAAATTAAGACACTAATAACAAACTAGAAAAAAGCAAAACTTGTATTGACAAAGGAAAAAAAAACAAAAACAAATTTTCAATTAACAATATGCTTAACAAATGTCAATCCTTATTTTGCTTAGATGCTTGTCATTCATTAAAGATTTGATTTTCTAATTCCATTCTCAAATTACTCCAAATATCAATGGGATTAATAAAACTTATTAAATCCTCATCAACTGCTTTGTTAGTTTGAGTATATTCCCCTAAATCAACTTCAATAAGATCAAAACTCATCTCCCTCCTAATAATATTATGAAGCAAACAAGCTATAATAATCCAATTTTATATCTTAATTGGATAAAATGATGGACTCCTAAGGATACCTCACCTTATTTTCAAAAACCCAAAACACCTCTTTATAACATTGCGAGTAGTTGTATGTTTCATATTAAAAATTTCTTCAGATAGCTTGGTTCATGGCCTTGATGCCATTCATTCAAATGATATCGTTGACCCTTAAAAGATGCAAGAAAGCCTTTAAAATTTGTATTACCTGCATCAATTGGGTAATAACAACCTATATAAAACAAACTAAATAAGTTATTTTTAATTAAAATAATCATATAATGCATAATTTGAAATACCCTCCTATTATCATAGGAAAGTTTACCATGAGACACTTTAAGTCCATCTCTCCTCCTCAGTGCATCTCGAATAACTTTGCCATCAACTACAGACCCTTCACAGCCAAAAAACATAAAAACAAATTACATGTCTGGTGTATATACACCAACATTTTTGTTGCAATATTCCTTTTATGAGTGTGATATCTAGGTTTATCTACACTTGGCACCTTAACCCTAATGTATGTCCCATTTAGAGTACCTAAACAATTTTACAAATCAAAGGTAATGAATTACTTATAAGTAAATCTATTGATGTTTTGTATATATAGTTATAGAGGTAATATGATCAATAATTTACCTTAAACCATTTCCACTAATTGTCTGTAGAGTTTGTTGGAATGGGCTCAAGTTTTCTAAACAAATGTTCTTACAATTTTTACACTACATTTAAAACATTATAAAAGTGTTGACTAATTGTCTCATCTAACTTTTTAAAATTTAAACTAATTACTCGATTCTTAACATGATGAGCAATAATATGTAAGAGTATTGCTAATTGCTCATCTACAAGCATGTTCTTTGTTGACTTCAATCCTCCAATACTTTTTAATATTTCACATAATTTAAAAAGGGTCTGTCTATTCATCCTAATTTGTAAAATACATGAAATATTATTATCATACACAAATTGCCTCACATGCTCTCGATTGCTCTCGATTTGCAATAAAATCTAGTACATAAGATCTAATTCTTGGCCTATAAGTACATAAAGTCGACGTTGCAGACAATAAAGTCAAGAACAAATTAACAGCACGACAAATCTCCATATAAAATTTAAATATTGCTAGTAGTTTTTTTCATCGTTCAACATCTCTTCTCAAACGTAAATGAACCATGACTATAAAAAATAAATGTTCTAATCTATTTTATTACGTACAAAAAAATTAGAGTCATATGGCATATAAAACGTAAGAAAATAAAACAAAATAAATAAATAAATAATATTAATTTATGGCCATGTTGTATGTATCTTTGCATCAATATCCTAAAATAGTGAATTTGATTTCAATTAACTTTCAAAAGCCCTTTACCTTACTTAATAGAAATCGTATTTAAAAGCCCTTTACCTTAAATTTTTCCTTATTTAATTGTATATTTATAGTAGAATTCAAGGACTATGACAATTCCAATTACAACGTTACAAGCTCTAAATTAAGTTAAATTTCAACTAAGAGGTTGAAATCTATGGAATTTAAAAAGTAAGTGTGAATAAGGTGAAAAAAGAGTTTTTAACAAATATATCTTTTAATAAGGTGAGCAATATTTTCTATTGAGCATGTTGAATGTAAGCTGGTTGAGGTGAAGCACAAGTGTGGGGATAAGAATAAATTAGGGCTTGAGTGGGTCTGTTGAAGTTAATATATAAGTTGATTATCACATTCATTAATTTAATTATTTGATTAATTTGTATAATCAACCTCACTTGATATCTATCATAATATATTTAAATATCACCTTAACTCGAGCAAATAAGCGTGTATGCACAATTAGTATTTTTTAAAATTTTTATATTATCATTATAAGGTTGCACAATAATTATGAATAATGATTATAACTTGATTCCTCTTTAATAAAAATTTAAACAAAATTTTGAACTTTTTCTTAGCATTTATAAAGACAAAAATTGAGAACATTTTGCATTGCGTTGGGGGAAAAAATTCACAATGATATGGTTGGGTGGATAATGGATAGCATTATCAAAAGAGATAGATAAAGGTAGCATTGATGGGTATTGGCATGATGAGAGTTTGTTGTGGAATTTAATAGGGATAAAGAGTTGGGCATTTGGCATTAAGAGGGTTGGGATTCTCCAACCAAACACCAACAGTGATGCATACAATTTTAATCACCCCTTCCCATTAAGTCAACTATATATACCAAGCCAAATCACCAATTATATTAGCCTCCAAGGTAGATTGATTGTGTGAGCAATTTGATTCACATTTATTACATATGTACATGTGTGAAGGCTTTACATGGAATTTATAGAACCTAGGCTATGACACATCCTGTGAAGTTTCTGCTTGTTTCATTCATAATCATATCTTTCCTTTTAACAAAAGTACTGTAATTAGACAATTTAACTAGCTAAAAGTGTCTTTATGAGATTTAACCTTCTAAAAACTTCCTCTTGTGAACTAATATTGTTGAAAGTTGAAACTCTTATACCCAATAACTAAAGATTCATACTATATTGAAATTTGATATTTTAACAACATCATGTATTTCTTGTTTCAAGACTAAAATAGAGTATCAACTAGGCATTTGGAATATCAAGTCTAGATTGATGGTGCTCATATGGATTTTACTAATTGCTTTGTATTGGTCAGATTTATAATTAGCTAGTTTATATTAGAGATAGATATTTATATACTCATAAATTATTTGTAAATTAAGAATTATGCATTATGCATCAAAACTAACCCAAATCTACCATTTTTACTTAAAACTACTTCCTAATATGCACCAAAACTAAGATAGGGGTATTAGTAAGATAGGAAACCAGCAGATGGTCGTGTTTCCTACCGTACTAATTTTGTTTTTTTTTTTTGTTTTGGTCTTGACCTTGTGTTGGTGAGTTGATACTGTATATAGGTTGGGTTGGCTTTTGCTAGGTGAGGCAGGGGACGTTGCTAGTGGTTTTTTTTAACTAGTTGTTTCCGGGGATAGGTTTAATTCAATCAGGCTTGATATTGTCCTGGATGTATAAAGGTTCCCTTTGTTGATATGAATGAATTCTTTTTAACTTTCAAAAAAAATATATGCACCAAAATTAAGTCAAATCACAGCCATTAAGCATAATCCATAATACAAACAATGAGTCAAAGAAACAACAAAAAACAAACTTGACTCACAAATAAAAAGTCAAAAAATACACAAATCAGATAAATTCAAATCACTTCGAACATAAGCTAATTCAACATTTGGGTCATTTCCACTTTCAACAAAAAACAAGAGCAAAATAAGCAAGTACTTGTGGAAGAGAGCAATGTAGCTAGAAAGGTGGATGAGAGAGGCGATGGTGACTGGTGAAGCTGAAAATCATGGAAGAGAACCATACGATTGAGATAAGGAGGGAAAAGAAGAAGAGAGAGAAAATTTTTTTTATATAGATAAGGTTGTAATTTTTTAAATCTAAGAGGGGCACTTTAGTCATAATGATTTTGAAAGTTATTCCATGAGACATGGAATAGCTAATATGAAGAGTAGGGTCAGGTTTAGTTGAAAAGGGGTTTTTATAAATTTTAAAGAATAGTTAAAACTTAGGAATTGTTATTACTTGTTAAATTACTAACCATACAAAGATGTAACTAACAACTAGGAATAAAGGGGAATAGCACCAAAGGTGCTGTTAATGAGTTGTGACATAGGTAAGGTGTACATAGTGATTTGTGGCATACAAACACATCTTGAAGCTAAAACTTGAGCTCTCATTACTTAGTTACCATCTTTAATTTGAGATGACAATTGGTACTCTTTAATTGGGTAACCATGGATATCTAACCAGATTATATAAGTTCATGTACCTTATATTTAAGTTTTAGATGAATTTGAATAAAATGTTTACTATTTATCTTGTGTTCAAATACGATATAGGTATCACCCCTTGAATACTTAATACTTAAACTCAATTATGTTAATATTAAGGTATTGGTAGGTACCCGTATTCAATACCCATATATACAAATTTTAATATTATTTATATAGTATATAATAATAGATAATTGAATAAACACAATTTTGTTAAGGTTAGGATGAACTTGTGTGAGGATGAAAAGCATTTCAAGCTCTTGTCAACCATTCATCTTATTAATTAGTTGTTTATAATATAATATATTTATACTTAATCCACCTTAAACCGTAAATCAATTTTAACCTATTAGTACTAACCCTAAATGGCTAAATTCCGTAGTACCTTACCTACCAATAATCATTAATGACTTATTTTCCTTCCTCCAACATCTTGTTGAATACAAAACTAACCAACAATCCAATGCGTACGGTACGGTGCGTACTATGCGTACATTGGCAGGAAACTTACATTCATCCAAAAGAGAGGAAAAAAGAGAAAACAAAAGAAAAGAAAATAAGCACCAATCATTTTCTTGTCTCCCAAACAAACCCAGCGGCCAGACCTTCCTCTCTCTGCTCTCTGCTCTCTGCTCTCTGCTCAAAACCTTTTTATTTTGAAAAATTCAACTTGTCAAGATCTGAATGCATCATCAACTTCACTGGCAATTCCTAAGGTTCGTGATCAATCTCGATTCCATGTAAGTCAAAGCATTAGTTTTTCTATCTTCAAAGTTATCATCTTTTTCATTTTCTGCCAAAACTTTGAGTTAATTTTTTTTTTCCTGTTTTGTGGGTCAATGGAAGTTAGTCACCAGTCAAATTTTATTGTTTATGTCAAATCAGTGAAGGAAAATCACAGTGGAAAATGACGTTTCGATGTTTCTAAATTTTGCTTAATTTTATTTAATGAATTTTTTGGGTTTATTTCAGGGTTAACACTGTAAATGCAGCTTCAAATTTGTAAACTTAGAAGTGGGTATTAGGCCAAACAAACAAAAGGAAAAGGAAGATTTGTTGATCCAGAACTTGTATGCTTTGGTGAAGTGGGTATTAAGAAAACGGAAAGAAAATGGTGTTTTGGGAAGGATATGCGACTGATGAAGCAATGGGGACATTTGCCCCAATTGTAGTATATTGGTTGTATGCTGGGTTTTATCAGCTGTTACCGCCTTTGGATAAGTACCGTTTACATACTAGAAAAGAGGAGGAAGAGAAGAATTCAGTGCCTCTCGCTTCGGTTGTTAAGGGTGTTTTGCTTCAACAGCTGGTTCAAGCAACAGTTGCTCAAGTGCTCTTTCTGGTTAGTTGTTGAATCATGTTCTCCTTTTTCTTTTGCTCTGCTTTCTAATCTTCATTGTAAGTTGTTTTGTCAAATGTGTTTAGCATCATCAGATCAATTGCTGTTTCTTGGCTTCTTTTCTTCAGTAGATAGTGTAATTTGATTTAGGTGTTTGGCCTTATGGTTTAAGGCTTCATTTTTTTATCTTGGTTGTTGAGGATACGCTGGAAATTGTTTTAAGTAAATATAAAACAATAGGTTAGAGTACAGTTATGAGTTAACAATGGATATAACAACTTAAAATTCAGAGAAAAATGAACTAGTTAGTTACTAAATATGATAGCCAAAAGTAAAAAATGAAAGAAAGAAAAAGGAGTATAACGTTATAATGATTGTTGGAAAGATTAATTTTGTAAAACATCGTAGTATTAAATACAAAATAAATCATAAGCCTACATTTCACATTTAAGTAAACTAGATCTTGGCAGTTGTGAATTTAAATTCCTTACAAATGCCTCTGCAGTAAGAAAAGAAGTAAAACCAAACTCATTGTTGAAGAAATGGGCTTTTTTAATAATCCTTACAGTTAAGGCAGAGATGAGGCTAAAATTAACAAGGAAAATTTCACTGATTTTGAGAATTAGTTGTGATTCAAAATAAGATTGGGCATGGATACTATGTGTAAGTTAATCATAGCTTTGGCAAATGAGAGCTAGTTGTGTGAAAGTAGCAATGCCTCACACTAGGTTTGATATGTTGCCTACTCCTTGTAGTTTCTGGAATCAGTTTATTCTTTTCTTTTTTTTCCCTTCTATGACTTCTAGGAGGATAGAGTAGAGGTAGATTAAGTTTTAACTTTTGAATTAAGTTTGAATATCTTCTTTAGTTGCTTCATCATTAAAAATAATTTGTCGGCATGATCAATGGTGGCAAGTGATAATTGATGCAACAAGGCAAAATTGGATAAGGATGAAGGCCTAAGACTTCCATGACATTAGGGAGAGGATTTGAATTTAGGTATAGAGAGAAAGACCAAGAAAAGGTAGGATTTTTGGGGGGATGGAACATGCTTAAGCAGCTTATCTTGGGCTAGCATTTGACCTTACTTTGTAAACGTTAATACTTGATGACCCAGTTGTAGTTGCATTTCTTAACTTAGTTTGATTAGAACCACTCTAAGGGGAAACAAAAAAAAAAGAAAAAGAAAAGGAAGATCAAATTGTCAATTGTTGCTGGCATAACTCTATTGTCCTTAGTTAACTTTTGTAGGTTGCTGTGTATGTTTATTGATGTGATCTACACGGCATAGAATTTACATAGGAGATTATATCTTTTGTAGAGAAGCACATTCAAGAATTGTTGGTTCTTCATTTTTTGGAGGTAAAATTTGCATTTGCAATGGGCTTGGTAACTGATTTAAGAGAAATTCTTTTAGTTCAGGCTTGATTCTTGTGACTTGTGAGAAATCTTTGTGATGTAATGCACAAGGGAAAATTTTTTTTTTTACCACAATGCTGTGCTTTTTTCAATCTTTTTCTCCCCCTACTCATCGCCTTCTTCTAAATGATACTGGTTAGGACTGATGGTGATTTCTTTATTGGGCGTATATAGACCTCTAATTATAATATATTCTAGTGTTACATATTTGATTTGTTAATACATATTATGAACTGTTGAATATAATTACTTTCTGATGCATGAAAAGCTTTTTCTGGTGCATGATAACTGGTCATGGCACATTATTGCATATTTTCATTTGAAACTTAAAATCAAGTAAAAACTTTTGTGTATGTTGATGCGATTTACCCAATTTTGATTCTTAGCTTGTACAAATCATGACAGTAAGATGTCCTATAAGTGTTAAGTTTCGTTTACTTATTTCCTCACAATGTTGTTGGGGCTCTTCTTTGAGTTTTAGAATACAATGGAGTTCATATATGTAGGAGAATGCCTCACAACTTGATAAGTTTCTCCTGCATTTTGGTCCTAATTGCTTGTAACTCTCTTTAATCCAAGCAACACTGCATCATCAAGAACAGCATAGCTTACAGCTCTATCAAGTGTGTCCAATAATTGCTCATGGATTTTAATGCACTTATTGGTAATCTGACAGTTTGGGTAATGGATGAGGACATCTTTGTTCCCCCCCAATATAATCATCCAAACTTAGTTTTTTCTTTCTTGTCCTCATTTATACTTGATATACATGTTGCCATTTGTCAATTCAATAGTAGTTAGTGACAACTTGAAATCATCTGTTGTCCTTGTATACTAAGGCACCTTGGTCTCTTCTCCAGTCAGCCAAGTAGGCCAAGCTGGAATAGCCAAATTTTTATGTGATCGGTGCCTCTCTATTCGCACTGATCATAGAAGTGGACCCAGGAGATTCTGTGTTCCTCTAAGAGCCTGAAAAGTCAGATAGGTGGCATGTGTTTGAATTCTTTTCTTTACAAAGTTTGTTCTTTAGGCAGTTTTGTGTCCGTAATTTGTTTATGGTAAGTTTGGGTTTTTTCCTTTGGTTCCTAAAAACTGGTTTACTGCAAATGATACCAAATGGACTCGTTATTTTCAGTCTAAGCTGACATTTAAGTGAAAATGTGGCTTATCACCATAATATTCCCCAATTTTTGTACAAATCTCTATAATATTCACAGTTTCTTAACTCAATCAAATTGCCAAAATAGGCTTTAATTTTCTTTGAAATATGGATAGCATGGCTTCCTTGTAGTTGAATATGCATATTACCTTGCTTCTGCTCATATATGTGGTTCCATTGTGTTAGCCATGGAGGAAATCTCTCTGAATGGCTGAAACGCCTTGTACTTCGAGAACCAAATTCTAATTTGTTTTGGTGCTTTGTTGTTGAGGTGGGAATTGAGGTCATTAGATTGTTGAACTATGATGTGATTATACATACTTTTCTTCATTTAACTTCTGCCTTGCCTGTAAAATGTCTATTGGCCAAAACCTTTGTATTTTTTTACATAATCTGCAAACAATTTGTTGATTAAGTAGCTTTAGTGTCTAGTTAGTGTCTGCTAAGAGGTTGAAGAACTGCTATTACTTAGATAATGGAAGTTTCAATTAGATAATAAGACCATGGCTCATATTTGAACCTTGATCTGGAAGTTTCATACATTGAAGTACACTTTTTTGCCTAATTAACATTCTTGTGTTCTTGCTGTAGTTGACATCAACGGCAGATATATCTGGAACCACCATACAGCCTTCCATTCCTGTTCAAATTGTGCAAATTATTGTTGCAATGCTTGTCATGGATACATGGCAGTACTTTGTGCACCGTTTCATGCATCAAAACAAATTTTTGTACCGTCATATCCACTCCCAACATCATAGGCTGGTTGTCCCCTATGCAATTGGGGCCCTTTATAATCACCCACTTGAGGGTCTCTTGCTTGATACTTTTGGCGGTGCCATCTCTTTTCTCATCTCAGGAATGACTGCACGAACAGCTGTAATTTTCTTCTGCTTTGCTGTGATTAAAACTGTGGATGATCATTGTGGGCTATGGTTGCCTGGCAATATATTCCACATTTTATTCCAGAATAACTCTGCTTATCATGACATCCATCATCAACTCCAAGGCACAAAGTACAACTACTCTCAGCCATTCTTCCCGATGTGGGATAAGCTACTTGGAACTCACATGCCTTATGTTCTTCTAAAGCGACCGGAAGGAGGTTTTGAGGCAAGGCTAAAAAAGGACTAGTTGCATATTTCTATTGTGTAATACTAGAGGCTCGCGCTTCACACAGGAACAATTTTTTGATGAGGTTGTGCCATTCTTAGGAAGTGGAATTAGAATTGGTTTGCTTGAGGCTTTAAGTTGTAGGGTTCCGGCAGGAGGTCATTGGGTTAATTTATTTCTGGTTGCATGAGAATGTTCAAAGTGTTACAATTATTTCACCAACCAACTATATTTGTTGTTAATTATGCCATTTTGGGTTGTCTATCGTAGCATATTTGTTATGTTCCTGGGGATCTAGATTTTCATGTTTGGTAATTTGTTTGGGACTAGCTAATAGAATGGGTCTACATGACTATTTATATGTAATTTATGGTGCCTAAGTACTGATTTCACCTTGTTAGTATGCTTCATATTGCGTTAATGTCTAATTTGATTTCTTGCTTCTCTTTTCCCCCTCTTCTTCTCCCCTAACCCAAATGCTACTAAAGGGAAAAATTAGAAACTGGGGTTGGAGGTGCCTCTTGTCAAGCTAATCCTCAGAGCAATGGTTGCTTCTATATGGTGATGCATTTTGCGTATAGGTAACCTGCTGTCTATCCAACCATACTGTTGGTATTATCCTGCATTGCGCCAATGCTTAACGTGTATGACATAAATGAATTGAACCAACACTCACAGTTTAGGGTTAAACTTCCTACTCTAACATGGATGATCAGCCTCAGAAGGGGAGAAAAATAATCTGTTAAATGATCAACTTGCACTTCTTTTTTGCCTGCAGGTGTTACTTATTATACCTGTTCAGGAAAACAATCAAGGTCACCAGTAATCTCTACAGGAACAAGATCCATCTCTAAATCTGTGAAACCGAACTCGATCCCTCACAATAATTTCTCGATCATATATCTTCGATATATGCTTAATCACAACATGACAATCTCCACATATCCTTAGATTCTTAATCACTTGAATTGGGGTTCCTTCATTGGTACTAATCAAACCAAAGGCCACTGCCAACTTCTCACTATGATAACACAGTTGATTCTCCTTCTCCTCCTCCTCTATGTCATGAAGAACAAACCTAGTCTCAGCCACATAGCCTATCTCTTTAATCTTGAACCTAATCTCATCCAATTTTGAATATATCTCTTGCCATTGGGCATTGCTTTTATCATCAGTGAAAAACTTGTGCCTCATACCATTTATCTCAATGTAGCTAAAACCAGGCACCTTCTTCACATCCCTGTTCTTCATGGCATCCCTCACCCTACCAACATCATTCCATCTCTCATGTGCTGCATAAACATTGGATAACAACACAAAATCTCCACAATTATTGGACCCCATCTCCACCAGGTTCCGTGAGGCAATCTCCGCCATCTCCACATCCTTGTAAATCTGGCAAGCTCCAAGCAAACTCTGCCAAAGCACTACATCAGGCATCACTGGCATAGAATTGATAATATCATAGGCCTCTTTGAGCCTCCCGGCTCGACCTAACAAATCAACCACACTCCCATAATGCTTCACATTAGGTTTCACTCCATGCCTCCCCATTGTATTAAACAATCTAAGACCATCCTCCACCAGGCCGGCATGATTGCAAGCACATAGCACAGCTAAGTAAGTTACAGCATCGGGCTGCACCCCAGTTCCATCCATTTGCCCGAAAAGCTCAAGCGCTTTATGTCCATCTCCATCCATTGCAAAGGCCATTATCATGGTATTCCATGTAACGAGACTCTTTTTACAACCCATGTCATCAAACACACCATACGCCTTATCCACAAGCCCGCAATTCGCATACATATCAATAACTGCATTACAAACTTGCACGTTCAACTCCAACTTTTCATTCCTTATAAACCCATGAATCTTTTCCCCTTCTTTGAAATCACCCATGCGCGAACATGCAGAAAGAGCACCAAGAACAGTAACCTCGTTAGGCTTTAACCCTTCAACTTCCATTCTCTTGAATAAATCCAAGGCTTCACTCGCTTGATCCCCTTGAGCCAACCCCAAAATCAAGGAATTCCACGAGGCGATATCTCTTCGCGGCATTTCATCAAACACTTTCCTTGCGTTACCAAGGTCGCCAACTTTCGCATACACGTCTAGCAAAGTAGTAGCTAACAAAGCATCCGCCATGAACCCAAAACGTACGATGTTTGCATGAAGCTGAAGAGCTTCGGTAGCAGCCAAGACGCGTGCGCAAGCTTTCAGAGTGAAAGAGCACGTCAAGGCATCCAATCTGAAAGACCCACGTTGCATGGTTCTGTACCACTCGAAGGCGGTCGAGGGTTCAGGGCTTTGGATCAGGCCGCGGATAATGGCATTGAAGTCATTGGTAAAAGGGCTTCGGATTTGGCGGAAAAGGACGATGGCAAAGGACAGAGAGCCGAAGGGGGCGACAGCGCAAAGGTCGAGGAGCTTGGAGCGGGTGCGGCAGGATTGGAAGTTGCCGGTGGTGATGAAGTAAGCTTGGAGTTGCTTTATGTGGGAGAAGGCGGTGCATCTCTCTATGAGTGACTCAAGATTGGCCATTCCATGGATTTTGGGATTTGTTCTTCACAATTATGTCTAAAATAAAATCATTAGAGAACTGCAACTCTTTATAAATAAAAATTATTTGCTTTCTTGACTTAAAAATGGATTTCATTCACTCACCATTTATGATCAGTTAGTGTAACAAAAGAAATGAAGGAGGGAAAGCATGGAGGGCTAGAGAAAAGAAAGAAAGAGTAGTTAAAGGTGTTTTATTTGTATTTGTCATTACATGTGCTTTATGTAATATTTATTTTTATTTATTTTAAATAATGATAATTATTATTATATAAATACATATATTTTTAAAGTATAAAGTTTGAAATATTTTTAATATTTTGAATCTCACAAATTGTAAATTTATAAAACATTATATATAATATTAATATATATATATATATATATATATGTATGAACTTATAATTAAGTTCGAGTTTAGGGTATTCTAAAAGTGATACGGGAAGTATATCAGAAGTTATAGAGTTGAGCACCCACAAATACAAATATAACAACAATCCATTTACATCCCTAAACTTGAGTGTTTAGGATTCCGTTAACTGTCCCATGGTTGGAGGTTTGAGCCTTTTATTAGGCTAAGGGTTAAAGTCAGAATTCTCTACTAAGGTTGATATATATGTCATAGGGTGTTTGCTTGAGAACACTCTCGTGCGGCCTTAGCTGGGCCAAACCTCAACCTTCCTAGCTAAGTTAGCCTTCGATCCTCTCCTCCTTGAGATAAGATCTCACTCAAGTCTAAATTAGCTCGCACACATAGTCTAATAGAGAAATAAAGAGAATTGAATAAGGGAAGTCTTTGTATTAATGATGTATTGAATGGACAAAGAACCAACATTTACAAGGAGTACTGAGGAGCATATTTATAGGCAAAAGCCTTATCTCAAATGATCCTAAACGACTTGAAGCCTTGTACAAACGGTTAGGAAGCCATTCTAATTCAAAATGCAGCCTATCGTTCTTTTTGTCTCATTAGACATAGTCCTACAACTGGGCAGATAATCCCCCACATCTGTGGCCTAGGTTGGTTCGTTTGCAGCCTGTTTGTGCCATTCTTTTGGGCGTTAGGCAGGCTACCACTTGTTGGGTTAGTTTGGCTCCACATGCACTATCTATGTCTGAGAGGACAAAAAGGGCGTGGCATATGTTGCCCCTTAATTATTTTGGCAACACCTTCGTCGCTTGCTGCTTATAGTACTAGTTGATGAGCTCCTAAAATTACCAAAACGGATGAGCTGGCTCCCAACTGGCTTCGTTGTTAAGCATCTTTCTCTGTCAGACCAACTACTGGTGTTACAGGCAGTAATTCTTTAATTGGTTCTGCATTTGAATTTGACTGAAAATTGTAGAGAATCCTAATGGAATTCAGGGATGCATTTTTTAAAACCTTTAAAATTTTGTAGCCAAACTCAAATAAATTTTCTAGTCTTTATTGGCAAACTCACAATTGAAAAAACTATTTAGTTAACCTAGTAGGCTGTGAATGGTAAGACTTACACTTTACCATTAACTATTGTATCAAAACCTTGACGTAGAAGATTTTATGGTCAGATTCCTCTTTTTGGTTGATTAACATAGGTTATCCATGTCTAGAATATTTGCAAGCATATGGACATAGTGTTCGATAACAATATTACCATTCGTTTTTGTTTCATTTGTTTCTTGTTTTCGGGAAAGGAAAAATAAGATATCAATTTCATGCTCGTACTACAATCAGTGTAAATTTTATGCTTTGCTTAGCTATTTTTTCTACCTCTCTTTTTTTCTCTTTTCTTTTTATTTAAGCTTTTGCCCATATTTTTTGAGTAAGCTAAATTGTTTATGGCTATAGGATTTCATGGGTTATTGACATATCCATTCTACTTTAAGTGTTGCTAAATTCATTTTCCCTTTTCTGTTGTGCAAAGAGAAATCAACCGAAATGTTTTTGTTTATATTTATTGTTATTCAGATTCATAGCTTTGGTCATAAAGGGTAAGCTTTGTGGGTCATTTACCTTGTCTTTTCTTTATCTTTATTTTTTTTTATTCCAAGCTACTGTAGTTCTAGCCTATGTGGAGTCATAATCTTAAATGGCTTTTTGATTGTATGGCTGTTTACATGATAAGGAAAGTGGGATCTTTGAATTTTCTATGTTGATTAAGATTTATGGTAAAAGAAAGAAAGAAAGAAAGAAAGAAAATTCAATAGCTGACACTTGACTGAAATGTTAAGCAAAAGTATATTATATGATTGCTTGAAAACTAAGAGCATATCAGCTAGTTGAAGTAACTATGATGTTTCCATTTCCTTTTTGTTTAACAATTGATACCGTTCAACTTAGACGTCCAGATCTATTTACATGTCCACTGAAATATATGTTTGTAGATATTTAATCAAACATTTTGAGTGGTTTCTATATCTGAATTTGATTGAAAATTGCAAAGAATCCTAGTGGAACTTAAGAGGTGCACTTTCTAGAACCTTTAAAATTTTGTATCCAATTCCAAATATATTTTTTAAAATCTATTGGTGAACTTACAATTAGAAAAGCTGCCCGTTTAACCTAATAGGCTATGAGTGGTTGGACTTAGACATTACTATTAGTTATTGTATCAAAACCTTGGTGTAGAAGATTTTGTGGTCATATTGCTCTTTTTGGCTAATTAATGTAGGTCACCCATATGTAGAATATCTACAAGCATATGGATATGATATTCGATATCATGTGCAT